TGTGTGTGGGGATTAGGTGGCAGCAAAGTGTCAGGCTCTTTCCTGATTGTGAGGGCTGTAGGGTGGTTATGTAGAAGAGGGAATGTCCTTGTTTGCAGGAAGCAGGCACTCGAGGGCTCAGGATGATGGGGCATCAGGTGGGCGACTTACTCTTAAATAGTTAAGGGAGAAAAAATTCTTTGTAACTTTGCTATACATTTGAAATTGTTTCAACTGAAAAGTTAAAGAACAAAAGTGACTAAGGACTAACCTTTTCATAGGGTATCTGCAGAAGATCCAACACCACCGAATGAGCCCCCATATTTTTTAGTAATCGTTGGTGTTGATTCCGAGTCTTTTTATTCTGTATGCAGAGTTTACTCAGCCTAATCAAAATCTTTAAAAAGAAAAAGTACTATATTTAACAAACAACAATATGAAATGTATTATATAAGCAAAAGTTATTTGGCATGAAAACATAAACCTATATAGTAGTATTTCATATCACTGACCTCCTTTACGATCCTGTAGTTATTGCTTTTATTGCTGTCAATCTGAGGTTTCTTTGTTCCATCCTGCACTGAACTTAAAATATGTGATTCCTAAAACAAACACAAATATGTATTTTTATGCCATCTGTAGCTTTGTAATAAATTTATGTATTTTGTAAGAAATAATAAATATACTTTGTAATATTTTAGAATAAATTTATTATTCAACATAAATGTTGCTTTTGTACTTTTTTGTTGCATAAAATGTTCCTTGGCTTGCATGAGCCATGCAAATTACCACTACATGATAAGAACCAAATTACAAGATAAATGTTATTACTAATAATTGAGTTAAATTTTTAAAAAGTTGTTATTCATATTATTAGTGTATTTCCATATATACATATAAATCATGGTTTATAAATCATGGTTGTCTATATGAGAGGGAATCATAAAAATCTGGGCATAAAAGATGCAATTTTATCATCAAGGAAGAACAGCAAGGAACAAAAGAGTGAAGGAGCATCTCCTAGCAGCTGAACACAACTCAGGGAAGAGAGACAAGGGCAACATGACCCAGAGATTCTCTGCCAGGTCACCATGACATCCTTAAGAGTAACGACTTGGGGCCAACCAAGCAAGTATGGAATCATGAAAATGAAGAGAGGCAAATAAAACATATTAGAAACAATATTTTAAATTGCTATATTAATAAAGCTTATTAAGAGGACCTGAAACACCAGAAGAATTAATTATAACAACCATTATCTGTAGCATCAAAATAAAAAGCAAATATAGGTAGTGTACATATCTTAAATATCAGCAATTGGAGCCACCATATGAAAATAAAACACCAATTACAAACAATTCCATACAAAACATTTATTAAGACTTAATACATGCCTGGTCCTAGACTATGGTAAATGGAGCTTAAAGAAACAAAAAACAACAGAAGATACGATCCTTCTCACAAGAAAATTACAGTCTACCTAAGAAAACTGGGAGAAATATGAAAATAAACATTTGAACTGAGCAGAAGTCACTATTCAGAAAGAGAGAAAGAGAGAGAGAGAGAATAACTACAGCTTTAGACAGCCTTA